GTTAACTCAGGACCAGTCTTCCTCAGCAAAAAGAGGAGGATTGGCAGCATATGTTAGCTCAGGGCTAATCTTCCTCAAAAAAAAAAAAAAAATCAATTTTCTCTTCATATTGATTCTCTACTCATCTATAGATTCAATGCAATCCCAATCAAAATCCCAGCAGACCTTTTCACAGAAATTGTCAAGCTCATTCTAAAACACATATGGAAATGAAAACAACCTATAATAGCTAAAACAGCTTTAAAAGAAGAGCAAAGTTGGGGGAATAACAGTACCTGATTTCAAGACTTATTTTAAAGCCACAGTAATTAAAACAGAATGGTACTGGTGCGAAGATTAATAATTAGATCAATGGAGCCAAATAGAGAATACAGAAATAGACCCACATATAATTAGACTTCTGATCTTTGACAAATGTGCAAAGGCAATTCAGTGGTGCAGGCATAGTCTTTTCAACAAATGGTGCTGGAATAATCGAATGTCCACATGAACTCTAACCCATCTCCCTTACCATAAACAAAATTAACTCAAAATAGATCATAAACCTAAATATAAAATCTAAAACTTCTAGAAGAAAAAATAGGAGAAGACTTTGTGACTTTGAATTAGGCAAAGATTTCTTAGACGTGACATGAAAAGCACAATTCATAGAAGAACCAATTGATAAATTGGACTTCATTAAAATTATAAACTTCTTTGCTTTAAAAGACGTTTTTAAGTGAATGAAAAGACAAAACTCAGACCGTGAAAAAAGTCCTTGCAAATCTTATATCTGATAACTGACTTGTATCTAGACTATATAAAGAACTCTCAAAATGCAATAAGAAAATAGACCATCCAAGTAAAAAATGGGTAAAAGAGTGAACAGACACTTCACAAAACAAGAAATCCAAAATTGCAAATAAGCACTTGAAAATATGTTCAACGTCATTAGGGCAACGCATGTTAAAAACACAAGGAGGCACCACTTCACACTATTGGAACAGCCAAAATCAAAAAGACTGACAGTACTAAGTGTGGGTGAGTATATGAAGGAACTGGAATTCTCATAGACTGCTGGTAGGGATATAAAATGGTATCCCCATTTTTTGGAAAAATTACCATTTTTCCAAAATGGTAACCACTTTGGAAAACAGTCTGGCGATTTCTTAAAAATTCAACAGACATCTAATACATAATCCATCCATTCTATTAGGTATTTACCCAGGAGAAATGAAAGCACGTGTCCATATACAGATTTGTACAGGAATGTTCATAACAGCTTTATTTGTAGCAGCCTAAAATGGGAAACAATTCAAATGTTCACCAACAGGTGAATAGATAAACAAATGGATATCCATACAATGAAAAGCTATTAAGCAATGCAAAGCAATAAATTATTGATATGCACAACATTACAGATGAATTTCAAAATAATTACGCCAAATGAAGGAAGCTAGAAAAAAAGAGACATATCATATGATTCCATTTATATAAAATTCTAGAAAATGTAAACTAATATACAGTAACAGAAAATAGATCAGTGGTTGACTGAGGATTGGGGGCGCCGGGGGCGGGGGGCGGGTAAAACAGGGGTAGGAAAGTGTCTTAGTCTGTTCGGGCTGCTGTAATAAAATACCACCGTCCAAGTAACTAATAAACAACAGAAATTTATGGCTCACAGTTCTGGATTCTGGAAGTCCAAGCTTAGATGTTAGCCTGAGTGGGCGAAGGTCCTCTTCTGGGTCACAGACTTCTTGTGTCCTCACAGTGGAAGGGACTAGGGAACACTCTGGAGCTTGTTATATAAGGCACTAATCCCATTCATGAGGGCTCTACCCTCATGACCTAAGCACCTCCCACCTCCTAATACCATGACCTTTGGGAGTTAGAATTTCAACATATGAATTGCAGGGGGACACAAATGTTCAGACCACAGCAGAAACGGACATGAGAAAATTTTGGGCTGCTGGATATGCTCATCATTTGATTGTGGTCATGAGTTCATGGGTGTATACATATATCAAAACTTATCAAATTGTACAATTTAAGTATGTACAGTTTATTGTATGTCAATTTTACCCTCAAAAGAGCTATTTAAAAAGAAAACTTTTAAGTCTACCTCGAAGATTATGCTCTCTCAGAATTCTCCATGTGGATCAGAATTACCTCAGATCCAGTGAATGACACCGCTTCTCACCCTCTTCTTCTGGAAACTTCCTTTTGCCACCATCTTCCTAATATTACATCCTCTGGGTTCCTCCTGGCCCCTCAGAGCCTCCCTTTTGAGTTTTCTTCCCTGGCTCTTATCCTTCCTCCCACATCTTAAGTGAGAGCATTCTTTAGGGTCTGCGGCTGGTCTCCTTCACTCTCACGTACACTTCCTCCTGAGTAACTCTCTCCACCCCCTGACCCAGCCACCATCTCTACAATGATGACTCCCGATCGATGTGATAAGCCTTGTCCTCTCTCCTGAACTCCATATTTCCACCAGGTTCCCAACGAACATCTCCACACCACTTACAATTTAGCAAGTGCAGAACGACAAGTCTTCCCCCATCCTAACCTGCTGCCCAGCCTGTGTTCGGGTCTCAGTTTGTAGCACCACCGTCTCCCCAGCCACCCAAGCCAGACATAGCACAGTGGATGAGAGCACGGGATCTAGATTTGAATCCCAGCTTTTTCACTTACCAGCTATGTGCCCTGGGTTTACCTCTCTCTGTCTCGTTTCTTTGTATAACGAGTCTCTTCCTCATAAGGTTACTGTGAAGATTAAATAAGATGACAAACATAAAGTGTTTACACAGTGACTGACACACAGTAAAAGCTCAATGATCATTAGTATCATTGACAACATCTACCTTCTTCCATCTAATTATTCACCAAGCACTGATCATGTCATGTCTGCAGCCTCCCTGTCCCCTTCTTTCCTTTCCCTCTGCCATCCCATATCTCAGACTCATTACATCTCAATACCATGTTGAGACAGCCTACTCTGACCTCTCTTCTCTGCAGCCCATTCTCTCAAGTGCTACCTACGTGCTTCCTGAACTCAGGTCAGATCATGCACTTTTGTGATCAAAGACCTTTGATTGGTTCCCCTTGTCCAAATTGCATAGTCCTTAGCAGGGCATGCAAGAGACTGTAAGCTTTGACACTACCCCACTTTTCCACCTTCAGCTCTTAAGACACTCTCTAGCCTGAACCCCATATTATTTAGCTATTCCTAACTCTTCCCTATCCTCCACAAACCCTGCCTGCCTACTGTCATGAGTTTGTTTAAGGAGGGTGTTCCTTGGCTCTCCAGGCTCAGGCTCAGCTCAGCAGCGATCTTTTTAATGAACTCAACCCAATTAATTAATCAGTCTCTTCAGTGCTGCCATTGCACTTTGCCGATACGTCAGTCTGGGAGCTTACATTATTGTCATTTATCTATTTGCCTCTTCCTCTCACTTTGTCTAGGCAGTCAGTGAAGACTTGCTGAATGGAATGAAATGGAAAGAAAGAACATGACAAACAGTCTGCCTAACAGCTGCCTGACATCTCCCTGGTAAAGTCACCTGCTCATGGAGGTTCTCTGTAGATTGACATTTTACAAATTAGCATCCCCTTCAAGCTGAAAGAGCACCAGGGAGCCACCTCATTGGGAGGCACGCTAGAGTAATAGCAGCAACACCACTCATGGGTTGGAGGAGCCGGAGAAGAGAAGCAAATAAACTACAACAAATGCCAACTTCATCTTGGGTGTTCTCAATGATTCTTTCTGAAATGAAGATGTCTCTCTCCTGAAAGGAAGCTGTTTACTGTTCATGGCTTAGGAATGCCAGTAAAGCGTCCCAGAGACCTCCCCATTCCTATTACTTTATAAATTAGGGTGCCAACTTCCAGCTGGGACGGAAGACTCTGCATGGCCTTGCAAAATCCTAGAGGGAAGAATTCAGGAGGTACTGACAGTGGTATGTCCTTGATAGACTTTGCCAGCCACTCACCAACGCAACTGCCAAGTGGGGATGGGGGACAGGGTTAGAAGATGAGAAGAGGCATGAACTCAAGAGGGTGGCTGCCAGTCTCCCCCCGCAAATTTACAAATTCTCCAGGTGGTCCTTTCAAAGTGGAAATGATTCTTTCAGTGGGTTTTAGTTTTGTAGACTATTATCTTTAAAATCTTTTCACTAAAGCAGTCACTGGCAACTCACCTTATGAGTCCATGTCAGCATAGTTTATTGCCCTTTCTTTTCTCAGAACCTTTGCAGTTACCATACAACCCACATAACTATCATTCAGGGCCCACCTTCTACTGCTAATGGTGGGCCACAGGAATGTCTAAGCAGAAGACAGCTGAGAGTGCCAGCTACTGGTGCTGCAAGCAAAAACTAATGCACCAAGGGGAGAAGGAAAAGGGGCCACATTGCCATCGATTACTGAGCCCATTCTCTCTTTCTGTGTCTGTCTCCACTCTCAGAGGGCGGGACCATCACTTACTCTTCTTCATACCCCAGCATCTAGTTAAGAGCTTGGGTTCTAGAGGAATTAAATGTTTGTTGAACAACTGAATAAACTAGGGCGCCTCTCAGGAAAGCGTTCAGAGCAGGACATCTTAGGACGAGTTTTCTCATGTGGGAAGAATATTGTTCCTTCTTCCTTGATATTAGTTGTATCAACTATGTTTGAAGGAAAATTCACTTTTTCTAGACACAGGTTCATAGGTACACTAACATGACTTCTAAGTAACTTTTAACTCTGAAATTTAGAAAATGTAGGAAAAATTCTTCCCATGTTTGGGAATGCATAGGAAGAATATATATAACAATGAGGTTTACTTGAAGTCAGGTACTTTTCATTCCAGATAAACTGAATACAAAGAAGTCGAGGCCTCTGGTGTCGTTCTTAATCCTGCCCGGTGAACTCTCCTCTCTGGAATGGTTTGGGAGAATCACCTTTCAATTCCTCTACGCTTTGCAGCTGAGTTACAGAGTAACCTAACAGCAGTCTTCTCAGAACTCACGGGGCTGTTTAAATAGAGCAAAGTCCACAGAAAGTTCCACCGAGATGTGCTGAGCAAAGGCCAGAGGCCCAGAAGGAAAGAAGTGCAGACTCTGAGCAGAGCTGCCCTCATCTGGAGCGTGAAGCCCACCTGCCCAGGGGTCCGTGTGGCTGGCAATGAGCCCCGGGCTGTCGGCCTTCCTGAGAGAGTGCCCCGGCTGGCTCCTGCTCTCCGGGGTCTTCCTGCCTGTGACTCTGCTGCTGCTCCTCCTCATTGCCTACTTCAGGATCAAACTGATGGAGGGTAAGTGTGAAGCCACACAGGGAGGGGCAGAAGTCCTTTCCCATGGTACACCTTTGGGACAAGCTGATGCACAGTCAGTGCTTCTGGGAGGCCTGGAGCAACGCACCTCTCGGATTTGTAGGTACTTCTCAGTAAGCGCTCTCTCAAGGTATCTTCACTGGTGAACACGCAAAGTGTGATCCTTCCAGCAGCGTGGATAGTGCACGAGGCTCTGAAGGCCTGCATTGGGGACCCCTTAACTGCAGCCCCTCACAGACAGGCAGACTGTGAATCAGCAATTTTGACATGGGACTGCTTACCTCTTTCAGGGTCATAGATTCACAAACACTGAAACCTTTTTCATGGTCTGCCTTCCCTAACTGACAGATACCAGGTGTGTGTTTGTATGTGCCCATGAGTGTGTGCGCACACACACTTCTTCTCATCCACTGAACTTCGATTAAGGAAATGTGCCAACCATTGTGCTATCATGGTGTTTGACAAGTGTCAATCTATAACAGATATTTGACGGCTTGGTGTGAACTTCCCGTTAGACTGTAGGCTGAAGATGCAAAAAAAAAGCCCCAAAACCAACTCAGGAAGCTTAACACGGACACGGGCAGTTGGGTCCTAGATTGAAACTGTTTATTCTGCTGTAACTGAAGTTAATGCCACTGGACTGTGATTTGATGGAGTGTGTGTGAGTAACGTACCCAGCAAACATGCGATTGATATCATAGGGGTTAACAGCTATTTCAGCAATGTCAGCAAAATCAGTAATATTTCTTCAGTTGGATGGTGTCGTAAAGTACTAAAAACAACCCTCCCCTCCCACAAAAACTTGCCAAGTGCAAGCAATGCCTTCATGGATGTTATTACAGCATATCAGCAGATGTTCGGAATCTCGAGTGAAGAATGTCATCACATATGACCTAAAATCAAATAGAAGTACAATTTGGAGTATCTCTTTCTAAGATGAGATTTAGAACATAAAGAAATCCTGGAGGACGGAGAGTGCGTTATGAACTGTAAGTTTTCAATCATAAGGTACTCAAACATCCCCCTAGCCTTTCTTTTTTGTCTCGTTTTTATGAACAGCTCTCTTGTTGAGAGGCCCAGCTGTATTCCCTCTTGCTCTATGGCATTTATGTGATCAATCCTTTTCCTTATTAAGTTAGTTTATCCTGCACTGCCCCAAGATCAGTCTGCTGGATGTTCTGCCCCCCAGCCATTCATGAACACTGAGCCCTGGAAAAGAGCCTCTGAAAAAGGAAGAGAAAATTAGAAATCCCCAAAGTCCTAATTACAGCATCCCTCAGAGTCTTCCAAATCAGTTTAATGCCCAGCCACTGCAAATATTTCCATTTTGAAGGTCTTTTAAAGTTGTTGCAGTGGCCACTGTCACTCACATGCATGCCAGGCTCCCACTGACACTGAGCACCCTGAGAAACAGTGAAAGGATAATGATGTCACAGTCAGGGACTTGAATAGTTCGTGTCACTTCCAAGTTTCATCTCTGGCCACCTCTTTAGCTAGATAAAATTTTTAGCATCTCAAAAATATATCAAGAATGAAACGAGTAAACAATAAGCTCATGGATCCCAAAGTCTCTTACTGGCCTCTACTTATCAGTTATTATAGGTCAGGTCATTCAGCGGGACACCTGGTATTTGGGACAGACTCTGCAAAAAAGGAAGAATCTTGGTTTTATAGCTTTACTTGTCCCTTGGGTGATATTTGGGGGAAAACATCTATAATATGTAAAGTGTAAATGAGTCTACAGTATTTTACTCAGATATTTAGATAATTCTGAGGAATAAACATATCAATCACATTCCTTCAGAATGCCCTGGAAAATTCAACTTGCCCTTGAGAGTGTGGCTGGGTATCACAGGTGCTGATGTGGGAGGAAATGCAGGTAAAGTGCTGTATACACTCTCAGGCCCAGAGGAAGTGCTCGATGCATGTCTGTCACTGTAATCATGACAGTGCCAGGCCCAGGGGAAGTGCTCGATGCATGTCTGTCACTGTAATCATGACAGTACCAGGCCCAGGGGAGGTGCTTGATGCATGTCTGTCACTGTAATCACGACAGTACCAGGCCCAGGAGAAGTGCTCGATGCATGTCTGTCACTGTAATCACGACAGTACTAGGCCCAGGGCAAGCGCTCGATGCATGTCTGTCACTGTAATCACGACAGTGCCAGGCCCAGGGGAGGTGCTCGATGCATGTCTGTCACTGTAATCACAACAGTGCCAGGCCCAGGGGAAGTGCTTGATGCATGTCTGTCACTGTAATCAAGACAGTACCAGGCCCAGAGGAAGTGCTCGATGCGTGTATGTCACTGTGATGATGACAGTACCAGGCCTGGAGGAAGGGCTTGATGCGTGTACATCACTGTGATCAGGATAGTCTCAGGCCCACAGGAAGTGCTTGATGCGTGTATGTCACTGTGATCAGGATAGTCTCAGGCCCAGAGGAAGTGCTTGACACGCCTACATCACTGTGATCATGACAGTACCAGGCCAAGAGGAAGTGCTTGATGCGTGTACATCACTGTGATCATCACACACCCTTCCATCTTCAACACATCCCTGCCCAAGTAGGTTGCCTAGAGATTAAGTCTCAGACAATATTATCATCTTAAGTTTTAGCTCAATAAAATTGGAACTGCTCCTAAAGCATTTGAGTGAAAGGAGCAGAGGGCCCCATAGAACTGTTCTGTCTTCACAACCCTTCTCTCTTCTTCATTCCAAATTCTGATATGATACTGAGCTTCTCTTGACTTCTAGCCTTGCCCAAACTATAGGTCTGTCTCTTGCTTCTCAAAGTCTCCATTTTATTGCAACATAGCCTTTAACCCAAGGGATAGCAAAAAGGTCAGCCTCCCATGACGAGGGCCAATGCTCTCTTGGTAGAGTCCTTTCACCAACTTTGAGGCTTGCTCTAAACTGGCACCTTGTATACTTCTGGATAGGAAGTCTGTCATTTGTCATTCAACAAATATTTGACAATCTACCATATACCAGGGATTGTCCTAGATGGTGGTACAGTTTGTTACTATGGGTTTTCAGGACTGAGACAAAATGATCCCAGTTCTGGAAAACTACAAAAGGCATCTGGCAAAATCACCAGTAGCTGGAGAGACATTGCAAATCTGTGTGCTTCTGGCTCTGGCCTCTGTAGATGTCTGTCAAAGGGCTGTAAGAACAACCTGCCCTACCTCCTTAAGCCTGGTCCCGAAGTTAGAGCTGAGCCTTCCCTCCAGAGTTAGGACCCTCTGAACAGCTAAAGGGCGCCCCAACTATGTAATGAGCCTTCATTTTCTGTGGCTTTTTCTTCTCCATTGACTCCTACTTTTGCTAGCTCTCACTCAAGGGTGCCTGGAGCTTCCAGGCTACAGGTGAGGAGTACAGGAGAAATGAGTGAGGAGGTGGAAGGAGCTAGTATTTAATATGGCGACACAAAATCTGCACACCAGTCAATGCAATGGGGGTCCCATCTGAAGTTTACTGTTGGAAAGAATACCAATGACTGTAATCTTTCTGGTACTAGTGACCTGCCAATAACCCAGCTGGAGGATGCCAAGAAAGGACTACCCAGCTGACTGGACCAAAGCAGTCTTCCTTGACATCAGTTTTCATTCTGTTGAGACTGGGTCCCAAGCACGGTGGAGTCAGGAAGTGGTGGCCCTGGGTGCTGTCCCTTATATGTACCTGGCCAGGATGGTAGTTGAGGAGCAGCCTGTACTATATAATTCTCTCAAGAATTTTCTATTCCAACCATCCTTTGCTTATATTTCCCTCCTCTCCCAAATGGGATCTGTGCATCCTTTTTTGGAGTAATTCCTGATTACATTTTCCAGTGTTAGCAAACAACCTTAGACTAAGCATGTGATAGGGTCCAGGGCAGGCTGCCCCAAGATGCACCACTCTGGCACGCGGATTATTTTGAGCTGAAGACAGTAAGGGCTTAGAAGACTCAGGAAGGATATTCAACCTTTCCCCTATAACTGCCTAAAAGAAATTTAAAATAAAGGCCTGTCCCCAGGACAAGACTTCACCATAGACACCTTTGGGTTTCAGTAGACTGGGATGATCCTTGCTAAGCCCTCTTATCAAAGTTCTATTTACCAAACATTTGCTTTTCCCTTTCCCTGTGGGTTGCCTTCCTCCCCTTTGAAGCCCCAAATCACTACCCGAAACGTCCTCCTTGTCTGTAGCTGAAGATAAATAGACAGTCTTGGCCGGTTGGCTGAGTTACTCAGTGTCCCCTGAGTTTCTCCCATGTATACACTAGACTTTGATTTTCTCCTGCTAACCTGCCTTTTTAATTATTTGACCAGCATAAGAACTTTAAGAAAAAGGGCAGGGGAGGAATTCTCCCACTTCTCGACATGTGTTTTCATTTTTATGTGTATCTAATCCCTTCAAATCCAATTTTTTCTTCTTTAAAGACAAAAACAACTCTGAGAACATGTAGCTTTTAAAAATATAGTTCTTTCTTTAGCCACGTTCCTAAGGGTAAGTAGCAATATCTTCTCTCCAATTGGAGGGCAAGAGATCACTTGGCCCCAAATAAAATATCACCAGTTTGTATCTCCATTTAGCAAATCTCACTTAAAAACTGTAAACAGATGGTCAAATATCATGTCATTAATCTTCCAACTACGGTTATGACAAGTGTAGTCATTTCTATTTTGTCCCTGTAAAAAAAGGGACATGGACAGATTAACTGGTGTGTTCGCAGAACCCCCAAGGCCTGCATTCTGAAACTGAGAATCAGCTTGCCTGCCTCGTTCATCCTAGGCCGTGAGACAAGGGAGGCATTGCAAGATGCGACGGGAAGTGTGTGGAGGTATTGGAGTCATTCAACGTTAATCCCTGCACTTCAAGCCTCAGGAGCTAATGGTGCATGTAAACTTAATTAGTATGTAGAGAACATCAATTTTCTCACAAAGGAAGAGGAAAATTCTCTAACATCCTGCACTCTTCAATTTGTGTCAGTTGCCTTCAGGGGTGGCTCTTGAGGTGGAGGGTTGAGTCTTGAACTTTCCACAGCCAAACCCTTAGGCAACCACTGCCATGGCCATTTCACATCTCCTAGGGTGGGAGTTTTCATTATTTTCTCTCCCCAAGTCCTGAGACTCCTAAACCTCTGCATTCAGTGTCACCCCTGCCCCCTAAATACCGTCACCCAGATAAAGAACAAATGCTCTTTCAAATAACATTTCCAAAAATAGTCATTATAAAGAATTGTGTCTATTGAATGCCTGGAAGTTTTTGCATGGCGTCAGATCCAAAGGTCAAATACGTGACTAGGTTCTGGGCTTCAGAACTTACATTCTAAAATAGACAACTCAAGTACTGAAAATGTACATGGTGGCTATGCACCTTTCATTGAACTTCACATATGTTTCAGTAGTCAGCGATCAAAAAGGAATAAGTATTTGGAAATATCAGAATAACTTAAGGCTTAGCAGAGCGAAATTCTAAGAGCTCAGATTATGGAGTCCGACCAAATGGGGTTTGCAGTCTGGATCTGTAATAATGGCCACCCAACTTCTTGAAGCTTCAGTTTCTTCATCTGTAAAATAGAAATAATAACAGGACATAGCTACAGGGTTGATGTGGGAATGAAGTGAGGTGATACACATAAGGTTCTTAACAGTGTCTGTTCTGAACAACTATTGGTCATTATTACCCCTGCTGGCTTATAAATTCCAAGAAGGCGGTGTTTGTGTCATTATAATAATAGCTATTATTAAAATTATCTTGGAATGATTAAGTAAACCGCCCAAGGTCACTCACCTAGAAAGTGGCAGAGACAAGATCTGAACCCTGGCTGGCCGGCTCCGGAGCAAGCCCTCTCAGCCAGCACACTACCCCTGGAGTATTGAACACGGAGTAGGCGTTCAATCGATATCTGTTGAATGTTTGAATCCTTTTGGTCCAGGCAAACAAACTTATCACCAACACAAAAGCTGATTGGGGGAGAATTTTAAACAAGGCAAGAATTTTACAAAAGCTTTGAGAGAATTTGATTGATCTTTTTACATAACAGGACAAATTATCGATGATGGTGATTCCTCAGCATAAAGACTCAGCCCGGAGTTAAGCAGATCATATTTCTTCACCTCTTGGAAAACTTCATTGCCTGCAGAATTTTCCCCAATAACAAACTCAACTGTTTTCAAGGCCACCTGCCTAATCTCTCTCCACACTCTCCTTAACAGACCCACTGAAATAAAACAACGGCCAAACTGCAACCGCTTTCAGGAGGAGGGTAAATTATTTCTCTTGCCCTCTGCATTATGCTGCGCTCAGACACTTTATGTACTGGATAGATAACTCATGGAGATGGGTGAGCTTCCTCTTGGTCTCTCTATTCTGGTTCTCCACTCTCCAAGTTCTCTTCCTTCCATCTCATTATTCAGGTGGCCCATATTCGGCTCTACAACGTGCATCCTGATTCCTCATTCAAAGTACTTGTTGTGCAGTTAGCCCTTGGTAATTAAGTACAAGAAGGAAGAAATTACTCATATTTCAATGAATTTATGGTCTAAGTCATGGGCCAGCTCGAGCAATACCTTTGAACTAGCAACAATCTATGTAGAAAGGCAGTGTAACCGCGCGGTGGAGAGTGTGGACTCTGGAATCAGCCTGCCTGGGATTGAATCTGGAATCAATCAGTGTCTGTGATCTTGGGAAAATTGCTTCATCTTGAGTTCTCTCTGCCTCACTTTGTTCATCTGTAAAGTAATAATAACAACAGTGACTACGACACAATGTCACTGCAAGAATTAAATGCACTAAGGCATACAAGGGGCTTCACATGGTGTCTGACACATAATAAGCACTCAACAAATATTAGCTGTTAAATCTTGAGGCTCCTGTTGCCTAAGGCCTGTCACCATCCACTACATATGTACCATCTCCTGACTAAGATCACAAGCAGAGGTGGAGGCCTAGGGAATCCAGGTCAGGGAGCATGCATGTGTCCTGGGGTACACGGCATAGAAAGCGCCCGGCAAGGGGTAAATTGCTTGGATGTGACGTGGGAGCCAAAGAGAACATTTTCAGGTTCAATTTTATAAACGTGTACCATCTCCCATGAGATCATAAGCTCCTCATCTTTGGCTTGGATGATCTGATTAAATATAATTCTGAAAATAAAACTTTTAAGAGTCAGAACCAGGTTCAGTTGTAAGTGGCGGTGGTGGTCAGGAAGAGAGGTATATTTTTCTGATGTACCAGGAAGATCTCAAGGGATACTGGCTGGGATCTCAAGAGGATCTCAGGGCTAAAGATGAAATTTGTTATTGGCAGAGAGGTAATAGTGGAAGCTACAGGAGCAGATCCAAGTACCCAGATAGATGGAGCATAATAAAGCCAAAGGGAGGAGAGAAACGGGGCATGGGGGCTCGCGTCAAATGCCACAGAGGAACGAAGCCGGATATTGGAAAAGGCCACTAGATTTGGGATGCCACTGCTGAGTTTTATTATTTCACAGAGTGGCTTTAAGTAAAGTTATATTTTAAGGAGTTAAAGAGTGTGCAGGTTGTGAAAAGTTGAAACTGTCAGTTTTTAGTAAAAGATGCCACAGGGTAAAAGGAAGAAGCCAATTTGACATGTCTGAAGACTGTAAATGCCCAAACACACATTTTGGGGAGGGAAGCAGGGACAGAAACCCTATCTTATTTCCATATCCCCAGCCCCTGGCCTACAGACAGCCTTAATAAATGCTTACTGCATGTGGGGGTCTTAAATTTAATCTACACTTAATCTGCTAAATGTAAAATATACCTAGCATGTAACAATTTTTATTACAATGGTAATTGATCCACTCTATCCGGGACCATTCCTTAGAAATAAGCATCTACATGTCTTTGGGAAGGGGCTGAGGAGGTAAGGAGACACCTGCAATGGGACCTGCTCTGAAAACCCAGACTCTAACTTGCGGCAGCCACCAGCCTAGACGCGCTGGACAACAACCACTTATGTGGAGTAAATGACCAACGGCATGCAGCTGTCTCCAAAGCATTAACTGATATTTTTCTTTTCAGTTAATGAAGAACTGTCCCAGATGCCTCGTCGCCAACCCAATCGCAAGGCTGGCTCGTCCCCGTACCGGAGAATGAAACGAACGTGACTGCTGGGGACTGATCAACGGCGGAAAGCACAGGGAATCTCTACTGGTCAGACAGCAATGGTCAACGGCTTTGCTAACACAGCGGGTGAAACCAGAACCACAGAAAAATAGAACACTAAGATGCTCGTGCTGAACTGCGTTGAAAAGTGGCAGCTATTATCCCAGAGGACTTCTTGAGACTCAGCTCAAACAGCAGCTCTTCAGAGAGCACCAAGAATCTAAGATTCTCTTGGATGTGCTCTATGGACTGGACACATTTAACTTTTTAACTTTCATAGGTCTTCTCTAAAAGGTGTATTTCTGAAATAAAATTCTTAAACGTCATTATTACATAATCCCATGGAAGCCCACATTATTCTGATTGGAGAAGTGAAGAAACTCTAGTAGAGATCAAATGGACAGCAAAGAGGAAAGCCCCGAGAGCTCCGTGGACCCCTCTGTGAGTCTCCCCACTTCCTCCTCCTGCAGCTTGGCAAGTCTTAATGACTCCTTTTCGGGCATCTTTTCTGGCCCCGAGTTTGCTTCTCTCCTTTTCCCAGTTGCTTCCACAGACGACATCATCGTGACAACCTACAATACCAGCAGAATCTCTTGATACTTGGGATGGATCCCCGTGAATGTAGCTTTCAGCACGACGTGACTTAGAAATACCGGCAACGTGGTGCTGGGAAGAGGAGAGAACAGAATGTTTGTTCATGTAACTCATATGGAGAATAATTCAAGCCTTTGCCTCTAAAGCCAAAACATCAGGGAGCTATTTCTAAAAACGGAAATAAGTCAACATTTCTCTAGCAGAATTCTTCTCTCAGTGGGATCTCCGAAGAGCCAACATAGACAACTGAAAAGAAACATTTAATCCAAAGTGGTAGTTAAAATAGACTGTGATTACTATCGTGTTCTCCAGTTTCCTAGTTAACGTTAACAAAGGATGCTTAACATGTCCTAAGCAGAAGTCTGGTTATATTCCAATCTTTGCTATGAATCTAACAGGCTCTTAGACTGATTAACTTTATCAAACCTAACGAATTTGGTCATCTCTGTAAGAAATTGCACCAATTTCTGTAGCAACAATCATACTAAAGATCATGTGGATGACCAAGCGCAAGAACGCACCACCAGTGCTGAATATTTTCTGCCTCTCCCCACCCCCACCCAACTCTAAAATTCTTCTTATGCATCCACTAAGTTATTAGTCTCCGTTGGCACTTCTTGCATGATACAAAACTCACTGTTCAACTGAAGACACTCATTTCTGAGTTTTGTTGCATTTGATTACAGTGGAAACGTCTGCTGGGGCTTTCAGACTGAGGTAATTTAGAATAAGTGTTCACGCCATATGCAAGGAATAACAATATTCTCTCGGTTCTGGGAGGGATCTCTTTTTAGCCCTTGGTGGAAACCAGCTTATGTAAAAATGCTTTCTTAACAGAAGGCGTGAAAGGTTGCATCGCATTCCCAGCTGCCAGCCAAGTCTGTGGTTCGGCCACGAGCATTTGCTCCGCCTTCTGGAATCGGGCACTTCTGAAGCCTCACATTTGGCTCTCATGGATGCCACTGCACCCTCTGCCTGACCAGGGAAAATGCTCCTCAGCTACTCTGGTAACAGAGCAGCTTTAACGTAACATGCTTTCAGCGATAAGCAGAACCAAGTAGTTTAAAGCAAGACCCATTTCTTTCATTGCTGTTGAATAAGATGAATAAGGAATTTCCAGTGAAAACCTGAGTAGATTCATGAATGTTTTTTATACATAGAGAGAAACAAACATGTTAGTGTTCCCATGGAGACAAGTCCCAAGGGTTTCACTGTAACCTGTCTGAAGGCACTGCTCCTCCATTCGACGCCTCCTTCCAGAGCAAGCCCATGAGCCGTGGTCACGTGTCTGCTCCTCGTGTGCTCACAGTGCAGTTTAAGATCTCACTCCAGCTTGGACTGCTCGGCGCTTCTTCACCGCTGCTGCCCCCTAGACCAGGCCCGCGGCCTCCTTACTTTACCCTATATCCGGTTCCATCCTGTGCTCCAGAGCCTTTCACCACATGCCAAAAAGGCTCTCACAACACTCAACGGTCTCACTTCAACAGTTCCTCATCTTATTTCTAATGTTCTAGTATCTCAGAGAATTCCAAATTCTCTTTCCCCAACAGGAGACGTTTAATCAAATATTTCATTGGGAGCTTTAAGTTCTGTTGTCATTTATTCAATGCAAACTTACCACAGAATTTTTTTTTTTTTACAGAGCTAACCTCTTTCCAGCTCTCTTGTTGACAGGGTTGGTAATTTGGAAATCTGCAGTTGGGAAACTGCAAGGCCATGACCGTCCCTTCACATCCTGAACCTATATGAGTTGATAAAACAGAAAATTGAGCAAGGAAGGGCACACATATGTTCTCTGAAACATTATTCGCAACCCTTAGAAAAAACATATTAAAAAAATTACTTATAACTCATCTGACTGGGTAATACAGCCTCCAGTATTTTCTAGATATAATTTGGTAGCAACCTGAAAATCAAGACCAGATTAACACTCCCATACACCAAAACAGTTTTTCCTAAAAATCTTAAAGTTCTTTAGCAAAACTGTCTCAGAAATCAGAATTCATAACTGTTAAGCACATTTAGGAAATCAATTTCTGATATTTTAGAAAAAGTTTTCAGAGCAAATGTTCTTGAGATTCTTGCTTTCTGACTTTATACTCAGTGTGCTAATCAAAAGAGACCTCTGAGTTTATCAGAATTTACGCAATGGTATTTACCCTGTCAGATGAGTGTTAAACAGAACATAACAGAAAAGAGAGATTCCAAAAGCTGTATTTATAATTACCACCAAACAATTGGGTATTTTAAAATATTCTTTCCACTTTTGTCAATTTTTCAAATCCATATTCCCAAACTCAGATTATTAAAAGCAGAGGTTTTCAACCTTTATTTCACTAATGAAGGCTTTTGAGAATTTGATGAAAGCCAGCAACCACCTTTCGCCTCTAGGAAAAATGCATATACCCATGATTTTGCATATATTGGGGAAAAGCCTAGCCCCTTGAAATCTATCCAGGAGTCGGTGGTTAGGAAGCCTGCAGCCAGTCTTAAGAAAGGATTTGTGCGGCCTCTTGCACCAGTTGCCTTAGCTGCCTCCACGCGGGAGGACGAGTGGACCGTAAGTGGTTCCTGACATTGGAAGGCTCACAGGAAAGTCAGTTCCACACATCTCCCAAAGCAAAACTTTCCCAGCAGGCTTCCCAACAGTACAGAATTCTATTATGGAAAGCCCTCACGAGAACACGGCTCAGACCAGCAATGTCTCCCATAAATTTGCCCTTGGTGGGTTAACTCACGCATGAAGCTGTTATTACTCACGATTACCATTATTGTACCGAGAGTTCCACTAGGTATTTTACACATTTTTATTTCATCTAACCACCAGAATACCCCTACCTTGGGATGTATTATTACCTTCACTTCAGATGGTTAAGTGCCTTTGTTAAAGTCACATGGTTCAGTTACTAGGCGTAGGGGATTCAAACGCCTATCTGTAGGCTACTGAAGCCAGTTTTTGAACTAAAATATCATTTTATACAACTTGAAGGTGCTATAAATCTACTCTAGACTCATACCTATACATAGGGTCAGTGTTTTCGACCCTGAGGCCAAGAGTCAGGATGACTGACACCTACGATGTGCCCGCTGGCCATGCTCTCTTCTGGGCCAAGTCTCTACCGTGGCCTGATCCCAGCAAATAAATATGTGAGCAGGTGCACGCAAGGATCAGGGCAAGTCCATGGTGACTTCGGTGAAAATCATCATCAAGTATGTGCCCTACTGCTGCTGTCTCAGCAGTGACAGTCGCACAGCCTAGTCTAGTGCAAGCGTGTAACACTTGTGGAAACGGACCAGAGTACCACTCAGTGAAGAAGGATGTATTCTCTCACAAGAAAGGGAGAAAGAACTTTTTCTTTCTCAAATTATGGGGATTTATGTGTTTTTTTAGCCTTTTATTATAGAGTATTTTAACAGAATGACAAAATAAACTTTCATTTACCATCACCCAGCTTCAGCAATTATCAACTCAATGACGGATCTCCTTTCATCTAACCCACGACTCACTCCTCTCTAGCCTCGTATTATTTTGAATCCTCAGACAGTTATATGACAGTCTCAGACATCAGACAACCTTATCCATAAACAAGGGAAACAATACTTACTGAAGCCCATGCTGGGCAGCAGTTACGGCTACAGGTTCCCCACTGCCAGAGTTCTGGCGACCATTAGTCCACGAGCTATGGCCTATGCTGTGAGTTCAGTTACAGCGTATCGTACAGGAAAGCAGAAGTGACTCACAACAGTGAGATAGCAACAACCCACCAACTCCACACATTTTAAAAATAACTTTATTTTTTGTCCTGCCGTGGCCTGTGGAAAACGCATTGCTGTTTCCTGTGTTCCACACAAGATTGCTGTAGGGCTTATGTGAAATAATAGCCATAAAAACTCCATGCAACTAAAAGGCATTACTGCATATCACCCCCAAATTATATTGCTTTTGACTTAAGATCCACAGCACCTGGAGGTCTCGCCTCAGTGACCCTGCTGACCCTACTTTCTTATTCTGTCATTTGGGGGTTTGAAAGCTCAGTTTAGAGATTGAAATTATAACACCCTGAGAAATATTTTTGCAAGAGATACAAGATATTAGAAATGACAGCCTTGCTACCGTAGTGACACATGACGTTAATTATAAACTGTTCCCAGCTGCTCTAGGCACTAAGCCCTAAGGATGCACCAGCCGTCTCTGGGACCCCGAGCCCTGTCCTTGCTGCCTCAGCTGAATGGAACTGAGCCCCAACCAAACACGCATGTCCTAGTCCCCTGGAGCTGCCCCAGACACACTGACTTGCTGTCGCTGCAACTACCATTCAAAGTATGGAAGGATGTGGTTCTCAAAAGACCCCAGCAAGATCAACCTCTGATTTAAATATGAGTGTGATACATGCCAGCTTCCTGATGAAAACATATTTACAGAATCACATCTGGTTCTGTAATCCCTCTACAGCTTGCTGTGCTGAGATAGGCCTCTCCAGAGAGTTGTTTTTGTAATAATTCTAGAGAAAGTGAGAAAGACCTTTCACAAGGTAAGAGAGAATTCAGTGGGAACAGTCCCCAAAGAAGACACTTATGCAAATTCTATTTAACACGCTCACTTTAAATGACTGAGGAAAGAAATTCTACACAACGTTTTAAAGGGAATATACCCTGTTGGTCATTTGTGAATAACGTTTTCAATGCTTCAAAGAAAAATTCAGCACTTAATCTGACGTGTCTCTGCGAAAGCTTCGCATGAACCACCTGGATGAGCCAGGGACGCAGCCCTGCACAGAGCCCGCGGTGCCTGACGCAGGGAGGCCCCGGGACAGGAAGGCAGAACGCGAAGCAGAGGGGCAGGATTCATATGCTACAGCTGCAGGGTTTCCGCAAACAAAAACACACAAGGAAAACAACCAAACTAGCTCTCGGAGAATCTGTCAAAGCTGCGGTGGACTGTGTAACCAGGCAGAAGGAAGCTGGCCCTCTAGCCATCAGATTCGCCTACTTTCAATATGGCTTCAGCCCCGTGAAATCAATGATGCTGCCAGCAGCACCAAATTATAAAAGATCTGAATACCAGGTTTAAAAAATGCTACATTCCACAAAATATATAGCCTTCTGACTGAAAATATCACTCGAGTTCTTTAAACCCTTATAAAAAGAGACGTGACAAGTTTAGAGAATAAACAAACTTTATTTTATAACAGTATTACAGAAAGCAAAATACCATTTAATACAACTTGAAGCTGCTATAAATCTAATCTGGATCATCACTATACATAAGGTCAAAGCAGAGGAAAAAATGTTCAATACAGTTAATAAGTCCTATCAGGTCTCTGGTGTCAGCTTTAAACGGTACAGCTTTCTCACAACCATCAAAAACCACCACCGCCCCCCAGTGTCCTCACGCCTCGGGAATCATCAAACTGTCTGAAAGAGACGGACTGCGCAACGACAAAGGTCAGCTCTACACGGAGACAGGAGGTTTAATACAAGCAAGTGTTCTACACGAGCGTTCACTGCTGGGAAGTCTTGAAATTTGGACATGTTAAGAAAGAAAGCACTAAGGTTTTAAGCTGCCTGAACGTTTTAGTAGAAGGGAAGAAACTGTCCTCTCGCCTCCTCCCGCCTGTTCTGGAATGCTGCGAAGAGCCCGCGTTGGAGGAGCTTTGGCACTGTGGTGCGGCACGGCCTCCAACACAGCGCGCGCTCGGCGAACTTCCCTAATTCTCCAGCCTGCGGCTTCTCTGACTTTCTACTAGAAGCACAAAGTCACAGGACTGGAGAGTCAAAAGGGTTCAGTATAAAAAATATCCCCAAGGAAATTCTCAAACATTAGGAAATTTTCAAGATGTGAGAAACGCTTTTAATCTGTGCTAATATTTTCTCATACGGTATATTTACTGCCATCTGAAAACTGTAAATATCTGCTGTGAGAATTCAACGGGGAGAATCCGGAAGAAGGAAAGTATCGGGATTAGTCGCAGAGTTTCCTTTCCGCACAACAGCACCTGTTCGAGTGAACGGCACCTCACCAGCCTGCGCTGGCTTTGTTCACTGTCATTGATCAAAGTGAGTCATAAAAAGCAGGTAGTTGTACACAAAGTAAACAGAAACCAAACACAAAACTCCCTAATTTAAAAAAAAAGAAAAAGAAAGAACCAAGAATATTTAGAAGTGGTTATAAAACAAAATAATGTATTAAAATGCGAGGGAACAGTATAGACCAGAGCTGTTAAGGTAAGGTTTGGTGTTGGCATTTTAATTCTTCAGGCTCTGGTCATCGTTACCAGTCGTAGTATAAATTCGCTGGAGTAGTGGTGTGGCATTAAGACTTGGAATGATCAAAATTCTTCAGGTTCACAAAGTTGACTGTTGTTTAAAAAATGAATTTCTAGGAGAAAAAAAAAGAGACAAGGCTTAAATATTTCAAAGACAGAGGTTTGAAAAAAAATGTAAGTCACGTTCAAATTCCAAATCAAGTAATTAACAGTTAGCATCTGCCTAGTTCTACATTAAATAAGATGTTGACCAGAAGACACACATAAGAGCCTGTCCTACCCTTGAGGGCCTTGAAATATCCAGAGAACTGACAAGCACGCTAGAAACAACTGGCAAATAAAAACACACCAAAAAAGAGTTAAATATAACACAGAGGTAATTCCTACAGTAAAAATCTAAAAAAGAGAAAGCAATGTAGGTTTTAAGCCAGATTCAAGGAAGGAGGAAAAGCAAAGTCAATTCTGACTTCACTGAAATGAGCAGAAAGGGGGCTTCGGGTAGGAGGACAGAATAAGGGGAGAGGCATGGAAGTGAGGAAGAGCGTGATGTCAAGATGGGGATGGATGTGGGGAGGGGGGCAGGAATGGCCGAGAGGACCAGGACGGTAAAGACACAGACAACGTTACTAAAGCTAAGGAAGGGTGCGGTGAGTAATGGGGGTAAGGTGAAAAATATCAGGTCTACTCTTTAATACCAGACTAGGAAGTATGAACTTAATCTAACAGCCAAAAACGAGAATGAATTTGGAAGGAGCATTCAGACAAAAAGACCAACTGTCAGTCTACTGCAATGATCCAGAGCAGAGTGTGGAGAGAGCCGGAGCGGTGAGTTGACATAGGGCATGACAAGCCCAGGAGAGGAGGCTGGATCTCATTCTCCTTTGGTTTTGAGGAAGGTTTGACACAGCCTGATTCACGTTTTGAAAACATAGCTGCAGCCTCAGCGTGATGGACAGGCTAGAGGAGGACAGGAGTGACAGGAATCCCTCAGGGGTCACTGCAGCCGCCAGACTGCATGGGGAAGATGACAAAGGTCAGGCATGACCGCTGACGGAGAGCACTTGACTGGAGTGGATGCTACAGAAACGGGAGGGGAGAGAGGATTCTGAGAGGCACCACTGAGGGAGAAAAAGTAAAGGATGGGGATAAAGAAGGAAATATCAGAGAGACTATGAGGTTTGGCCTCTGGGACCTCTAAAACTGAGAAAGAAAGAGAGGCTTAGAGCTGGGTGAGGTCTTAGGACTGGGAGGCAGATTTGAAATCGCCCTCAGCTCGAAGGGGTAAGTGAAACCAACAGATGGAGCTCGTCTCATGTAAGTATAAGGAAAAAGGAAAGACATGAGTCTTAGGGAAGCCCACAGTCGAAGATAAGGAGGTGAGAGAGAGGACTAAGAAAGGGGTGGACAGGGAAGCAGACAACAAACAAGGACGGTGAACTGTCCCTGAAAGAGAAAAGGGTTTGAAGAAGCCCACTGTTTCACTCTCTGCTTCACCTCAGCTGGAAGTTTTGGCAGATGGCAGGTGATTACGGAGGACAGTGGAAAGCGGTAATTAATGTCCTTTGTAAGAGGACATTACCGGCCCCAAAGTCAATTAGGATGCGCACACTTTTGGTCAGATAAAATGAAGACTTGCTTTGATGGAAAAAACTCCCCACCATTTAGATTTATCACAGATATTATTACAGCCTCTTGATTATTCAGGAGAGACTGATTAATCAAATCATTGTTTCCTCTGTCTGCTTCAGGCTATTTTGTTACTCATTAGTACTTCTGCTTGATTCCAGGCAGGGAAAAAAAAATCAATGAAGGAAACACAAAGTGGTCTTTTTTCAGGTTAGTATTTGTGAAAAGAAATGTAAGGGATGGTGACGGGGAATGGGTAAACCAGCAATCAAACTGGATGTGGATTATCTGTGACCTTCAGTCACGTTGTCTACCCCTCTTCTTTGAGAGCTGATGGCTCTGTTTGCTCTGCTTCGTGAATATGTACTGTCTGTGGCACACAGCAGCCGCTCTGACTAGCTTGTGTTCTAGAAAAGGCACCCCTGACGTTTCCAGTACCTGGAAACCTACAAAAAGAGCGAGGTCTAGGATTCTATTCTGCATTTCACTGAATTGTTTTTGCTCAAAATAAAAATATCAATTTGTAAAAGAAAGTTCAAATTAAACTTGCTTCAAAATCATCAGTAGACAAACAGGAATCTAGAAGAATGTAGGAACTGAATGATTTCAAAGAGCTTCAACATTTACTGAAATACATGTAGAGAAAAAAACATAGTTACCCATATAAACTCAAATATCATTCACTTTCATTTATTTGCAATCAAACCACTAGAAAGCAAAATAAACCAACTTTTCTTCTGCTAATAAGTATTTCAAATGACAACCTTAATGTGCTCTCAGGATTCCAAACGGCTTTCAGAATCAGAGAAAATTACATTTATTGTAACTTTAATGTTAAATGCATTTATTTGCTCGTGCCTTAAAGAGCAGTAAATCAAGCCTAGCTCTGAGTTAATTAGATATTCAATGTTTCCGAACACCCCAGTTCCTTATTGTTCTGGATGAATAGGGAGTAACTTACTGTGTAAAGTTTTTTATTGACACATCTACCTATCTTTTTTTGGCTGCTTCCTGTACTTGAACACATATAGAAATGTATTCCCAAATCATAAACATCTAGCTTCCGAGCTGGCAGAGAGAAAAGATAAGGATGGAATCAGCAATGCCTTTGGTACTTATGGATCAGATATTTTAAATTTGCCTGTCCTTGTGGCATTATCTGTGGATCAAAAAAACAACAATATTTGGCCACTTTTAACAGACTATGTTTTGGGTCTCAAAGATTTCTCACGTATCCCAAGCAAACCGAAAACTAGGCACTGGTTCTTCATGTAAGAGCTGTAAAGTTTCAAGAACTCTTTTACTTTTATTCAGGTAACACTGGTTTATAACATTATATAAATTTCAGCTGTACATCATTATATTTCGATTTCCATGTAGACTACATCATGTTCACCAACCAAAGTCTAATTACCATCTGTCACATGTGCCCTTTTGCCCTCCCACAATCCCCCTTCCCTTCTGGTAACCACCTATCTAATCCCTATGTCTATGTGTTTGTTAATTGTTGTTGTCAGAAACGGCAAGATTTCGTCTTTTTTTATGGCTGAGTAGTATTCCATTGTGTATATATACCACATCCTCTCCATCCATCCATGGACACTTAGCTTGTTTCCAAGTCTCGGCTGCTGTGAATAATGCTGCAATGAACACAGGGGTTCAAATATCTTTTCAAATTGGTGTTTTCATTCTCTTTGGATAAATACCCAAAAGTGGAAGAGCTGGATTGAATGGTAATTCTATTCTTAATTTCTTGAGGAATCTCCATACTCTTTTCCATAATATCTGCAACTCTTTCTTTTAAGCTTGAATTCTACCTCATATTCACAGAAGTCTGGACATCTTTGTCAATACAAATTGGCAGGTATTAATTATTGGCATTAATTCAACTTGTCTTCATTTTTGACAATGTCCCAATGTTCTCCTTGAGTTTGGATAAGGTCATAGCTGTGAAGAATACGGATTATATTTTCTGTATTAAAACTGTAAACAAAAACCTAAACCACTGTTTCCATGCTTGTTTTCCAGGCCTAGACTATACAGTGTTAGTGAACATTTCTAACTGCTTTGGTCACATTTCACGGCCGGTGTCCCCCTCTTTTGGCTAATGTGAGAATAGGTCAGTGTTTCATCTAATCACAGGTATAATTCTACATCCAAATAAATTCTTGAAGGATACGTATTGGTTGCCTACTCTGCCGTAATTCCAGAGGGTTCAGAGCATTCTTAAACTTATCTTTCTCAGTGTGCCCACTGAGCAGTGGGAAATCAGGTTCAGGCAATGAAGTTTTAGGACCTCATCTGAAAAGCACAATCTCAGTTTCCCGAGACAAGAGCTCACATAATGGGTCTCAATCTTGCGTGTGCTCCACTCCAGAAATTGATTCAATTACAAATTGTGCACTTTTGAAAAAGCATTTGGCACAAACCACTAGCAATACTGCCTTTAAGCAGTAAAGTACTTATCCAGGGAGAGTCTCGATAAAAATATAAAAATGTAATTTTTATCCAAAATAATTAAAATAATGCAAGAAAACATAACATTTCTTCAGATTAAGGAAGATTCAATTACCAAAGGGCAGCAGTCTAACCAGAGATTTTGAAAATATGAGTAAAATGTTTATGTAAGACACAACGCAACTATTTCCTAAATAAAAAGAAGGTTCATGTACTTGAGTGTAAAGTTCAGATTTAAATACAATAGTTTATGGATTTCAGTTCATTTTCATTTTATTCTTCCTTGGTTCTCAATTACATAGTTGATTTTAATTTTTAAACAGACTTTCCACTGCAAGAATATAAGAACCCTAGAGCCAAAAATGCAAGTACGATAAATTTCTGTTTGGTTAACCCAGGAAATAGTCTATTTTTACATTGTTTATATGACAGCTGTAATTCAGACCCATCAGTTCTCAAAGTGTGGTCTGCAGCCCGTGGGGTCACCGAGACTCTTTCAGGGGTCATTAAGTCAAATCACCGAGACTCTTTCAGGGGTCATTAAGTCAAAGCTATTTCATAATCATACTAAGACACTATCTGCCCTTTTCAGGGTGGTGACATTTCACTGATGTTGCAACAACAACCCTGAGCGAACCTGTTGGCACCTCAGCACAGGTCAGGGCAGTGGCACCAAACTGTACCAGAAGTCACTGTATTCTTTACACCAGGACCTTACAGCAAAATAAAAAGAACGCCAGTTTCACTTAAGGATGTCCTTGATGAGACAAGAAATTACTAATTGTCTTACATCTCAACCCTTGAGTACATGTCTTTTTACTACTCTGTGCGATGAAATGGGTAGTACACATTCAACACTCCCGCCACGCACCCAAGTACAAAAGATGCCTCGAGGAAAGGCATTTGTAGGGTGCTGGAATGGTGGGTTGAAAAAGCGCTTTTTCTATAAAATATCTCTATTACTTGAGAGAATTACTGACAAACCAAGTTATTCAATCTGGATATTTGGCAGGCATTTTCTTGAAAATAA